GCATTTTGACATACCTCCCAAACATCCTTAAGTCTTGTAATAAAACTTAGAAATCGGAAATTTTCTTTCGCAGTGTAAGGTATAAAAAAGCAAGAAACTTTTACAAATGAAATTTTGAATCCTTACTGGTTGGTTTATTTAAATAAATATTTTAATTTTTCCTACTGGTAAAAAATGCGCATTTCGTTATGTAATACGTACCTATATGTAGTTATTAATTAGCGGAGAAAGTTCTCAAATTGCTAATTAAAAAAGTTCGCTTGACGTGAAAACCTTTCAGGCAGAAACCTACCAACAATGAGAACAAATCTAGTTTAAAAACCCGCGAACTGACGTCATTCCTTTTAATTACAACCTGCATGTGCTATCTCCCTAATAAAATTAAACTTTTCTTCTTAGAATTAATAATGCGGCGAGAGTGTCAACAAATATCTATAATTGAAAATTTAATAAAGAAAATCAGTAGTTTTTTCTTGTATGAAATGATGGTAATTCGTATTGATCCAATTTGCGTCTCTTTTTTTTACATTTTACTGAAAAATGAAGTTATATAATAACGTACGTAATACGTAATGTATTAAACTAAGTAAAATAGGACAATCTATGTTTTAATTTTACGATTACTTCTCAAGTACCCAAGCATTATTTATTAATTTATTATATTTTATTTTATTTCATTTATAGCTGATAACTTGAATTCTTCTTTTATCTACCAGTAAACTCACAAGATAAATTTCGTTATATTTAGTTTAGGTATAAGTGGTATATTAAATAACTTTTGAAGTTTTCCTATCATTTTATTGTACAAAAGCGCGATATTTTTTACATTTCAGCGATGCATATCCTATATGCACTACAGTTTTATTTCTTTTTGTTGAAATTTGTTGCAGAACATTTCTTCTAATTTATTACACTATGCATTAGTCGAATAAAATTATTCGAAGTGGTCTGTATTCTGTCGAAACTGCCATACTCGGATCGCGATTTCGATCTCTTTGGATCTCATCAGCGCGCCGCAGACAGCTGCGACAGAACACAGACCAACCTTTACCTGCTGTCTCAACAGCGCGTTTTAGAAAATACCACAAATGGCGGGAAAAACGCCATCTGTAGTACGATGCTACACTTTAGGATTTCGTATGTTCCAACAAGGTCCATTTAAATATATGGATATCTACCTGCTGAAACGCGCTGTTAAGACAGCAGGTAAAGGTTGGTCTGTGTTCTGTGAGAGCTGCCTGCGACGCGCTGATGAGATCCAAAAAGATCGAAATCGCGATCCGCGTCTGGCAGTTTCGACAGAATACAGACCACTTCGAATTATTTTATTCAATTATGGTAGGGTTGCCATCCGTCCGGGTTTCCCCGGTTTTGTCCTAGTTTAGAGGGCATCCGGGGAGCGTCCGGAGGGCTTGATTTGTTGTCCTGGTTTAAAAATTTAAAGTCTTGGGCCGCCTGCCACACACGTAAAAGAAATCTAACTGATTATTAAAACAATTTGTAACAAACTGTAATAAGATTCTGTTTTGTTAGGTACATTGAAAATGATGATAAAGAATGACTAAATTTAATTTTAAGGTCTGAAAATAAATAAAAGGGTGATTTATGACATTTTCAACTGTTTTTTGTTACACTGACTATGTTTAAAAAAACCTGTTGACATGTCCGGGTTCTGGACTCTAAAATCCGGGGTTTTCACGCGTCTTGTCCTGGTTTCCA